TTTGCGGGTCCCCCCAGCAGGCGGATCTGGTCATCGACAGGCCGTCAGATCAGAAAGGTTTTGACCCACCCAGTGGATCCATTCCCTGGCGAGCTCCTCCTGGCTGGAAGGCTTTGTTGTTAGTGTCAGCGGCTGGAACCAGAGGTGGGGTCTGACTGGAGGAAGTATGGCTCTGGGGTGTGCTTGAGGGGTGCATTTTGTTCTTTGCTGCTTCTTCGGCCTGGCCATCTATGAGGTGAGAGTGGCATTCCTCTGCCGTGCTCCCTGACATGACCTTTTGGCTTCACCACAGCCTCGGAGCCAGCCGAGCATCGGCTGAACCCGCTGAAATGGTCTTGAGACGGTGAACCCAAACAAACCTTCCCTCCACACAAGGTGACTGTCTCTCAGGGGTTTCTGTCACTGAGATGGGAGGCCCTGCACTGTCTGAAGTGGAGCTGCATTTATGGACCTTCATCCCAGAGAAATGAAGCCGTGTGGTCTCAAACTTTCTACATATGTGTGATAGGGGATGTCCCTCTGTACGTATGCTTCTCTTATTGGTTGATGAATAAAACACTGTTTGGCCAATAGAGGCAGGAAGATAGGTGGGACTAGGAGACGAGGAGAATTCTGGGAAAGGCAGGCAGAGGGAGACCGCAGAGAGACTGCCATGTAGTTGCTAAAGGAGTAACAAGGTCCGGGCATTCTCCTGTAAGCCAAGACCACGTGGAAATATATAGATTAATAGAAATGGGTTAATAATTAAGAGAGAGCTAGCCAGTAAGAAGCTCTAGTCATCGACCAACACTTCAATAATCAATATAGTGTCTCTATGTGCTTATTTGGGGCTGAAGAGGCTGCGGAACCTGGCAGGACAAGAAACCTCTGCAACACACGTGCTTCCTCTTAGCAGCTTCGTTTGTGATGGCCCCAAACTGGGAATCACCCTGGCGCTTCTCAGAGGGCGGCCAGCTGGCAAACTGCGGCACATCTGTTGCCTATTCCTCTGTCCTGGGACCTCTGTGGTGGCCTGGATGAACCTCCAGAGCCTGGTGCTGAGTGAAAGTGGCAGCCCAGAGACCCTGAGGCTCCACCCATACAGTGTCTTGAAAAGAAAGACAAAGATACAGAGAGACGAACAGGACAGGGCTTGCCAGGGTGAGGGATGGGTGGGCGTGGTGTGGGGACAGGGATGTGTCTGTAAAAGGGCTGTGGAAGGAGTCTGCTGACGGGGTCTGTCAGGAAGAAGAGTCTACTTTAGCTCACATTTGGGGGCGATCGGCATGATGGAAGGACAGGCATGGCAGCAGGGGGCTCTGGGGAGGGAGGAGTGATGCTGGGACTCCTGGCTTCCTTGCATCTTGTTGGAACGGGGAGCAGGGAACAGACAGGAACCGGGACTGGATTATCAAACCTCAAGGCTGGTCCTCAGTGATCCACCTCCTCCCACGGGTTCCACATTCCAAAGGTTCCATGAGCCCGTGGAGGGCAGTTAACATTTACATCATCGTAGGTCTTTCCTGTCACAGAGTCACACGTGTGGCAAAACTGCATAGAAACAGATGCATAGACACAAACTACCTAGACACTCATGCATACACACACACACACACACACACACACACACACACACACGCATAGGCTCACATACAAACATGGACACACACAGATGCACACACACACACACATACCTAGACACAGACAGATGTGCATGCACAGAAACAGCTACACATATGCACAGACAGACGCACAGACACCTAGACACACAGGGGGTTCCAGTGACATGGTTTTGGCTCAAACACCTAGACACAGACAGATATGTGCTCACAGAAACATAGATACACATATGCACAGACAGACGCACAGACACCTAGACACACAGGGAGTTCCAGTGACATGGTTTTGGCTGCACTGACGCCACCTCCTAGGTATGACCCACGTTCTGGCCTGGCCCATTCTACTGCGGGAGCCAGGTGGGGGTGGCCGGCTGCATTACTCTCACTGCCACACATGAATAGATACTTTCCCAACATGCCTGTTATTCAGACAAAAATACATTTCTAGTGAATCCCTACAATTGAGAGCAGATCGGGGTTGTGGAGGAGAAGGGAGGTGAGTGCAGGCTGTACCGGGACCCCAGCCTACTCATGAGTGTCCCCGAATGAACCCTGCCCGTTAATGTCCTCTGACAGCTTAGTCAATATTTAATCTTTCCCCATTTGTTTCCCATTAGGACGCACATCCGAAACCTCTCATTAGCCCATCTTTCCAGAGAATAATGACTAATTTCCGGCAGTAGCTTTCCTTTCTCCTACAAAGACCCTTCCATTATTGTAATTTACTGGTGGAGGAGAAGAAATTGCAGACAATTCCAGGGCCCAGGAACTGTGCGACAGGAAGGGATGCTGCATCCTCTCCCCTGCCTGGGGTCTGGGGAGGAGGGAGATGCCAGGTTAATGGGACATCATCGGGCCTCATCCCATAGTTGGCCTGAACACATGGCATCTCCAGGGACCAGGGACAGATCCTGTAGTCTCAGGCACTCAGGACGTACACACAGTCTTTGGAAAGCTTGCTGTGAGTGAGTGGCTTGAGAGCAGGGTTCAGATCCGTGACGGCTCCCTTTCTCCCCTTGTCTGGTCAGCTCTGGGAATGACCCACTGTCCCGTCTGCAGGCCCCACGACTTATGGGACCTTCTGAGACTTTCTGAGAGGCGGTGTGACAGCATGCTGCTGCTTTTGTTCCCCTAACGAGTCAAGGCCAGCTGCGCACGCTGGTTTCATTACCACTGTCTTTTCTGTGTGCTTTAAAACAAGGTGTGGGAAGCCTGATTTGCTCGAGACAAGAAGAACCTCAGGTCCTTTAGACAAGCCCCAGGTCTTGGGACAACAGCCCTCCTGCCTCTGCGCTAAGGTGAACACACCCCTGCAATGCTCACACCTCCCTCCAACCCTTCCAAGAGGTGCCCTTGACTTCCTTCATTCCTCTTCTCAGGTTTCTTGTAGCTAATTTGCCCGCTCACCGCCTGCCCCTGCCCCTCAAGGGACTGCCTTGGGATGAGCTGCCTAAGGTTCCATAGAAATAATGTTACATCCTGTTCCCTGCGCTCACCAGTGTCTCACCATCATGGAAGACAAACATTCCAAAATGCAATCACCTTGTTGAAACAGCAGTCCCCAGAGACGGAGCAATGACAACCTCCACCAGTGGAGGAGAGTGTGATAAATGTTTGCCCTCCTGCCCTAGCCAGACGAGGCTGACCCTTCATGGGGCCCTCAGAGCCGGGGTGGGAGGGGGACAGGTGGCTTCTTGAAGGACAGCTTGCCCTGACTCTGCTTATACCGGGTTTCCAAGAAGACACTGCCTGTTCTGCCCAGTATTCAGCAGAGCGCCAGGACTGGGAAAAAGTGCAGGACACTAGGTAAATGATGAGGGAAACGTTTCAATGTGTCTGAGATACTCAATGTGGAGTGGTTTTCTGTCTGTCTGAACTTCAAGCTTACAGGTGTCGTGGGTCTTAAACGGCCTGGTAGCTTCTGCGGGCCTCATCCATCCTACCCTTCCCCGGGGCAAAGCTTGTCCAAGGAGGTCCTCTCAGCCCTCAGTGTAGGAGACAGCTCAGTGGGATCACATAAGGAGTTGTTAACCCCTAGGCTGCCATCTCCCGGGGAGACCCAGCTAGCGGGTCTATTAGGTGTGGGGTTGACTAGCAGCACTCTGTACCTCTACAGAGGCCTCCAGCAGGGTTTGGAATGCGGGTACCTGTGTTGTGATCCCCCCCCACATGGCTGCCTGGGCCTAAAGTGATCTCACTGCTAAACTTGTCAGTAGTTGTGAAATACAGAGATGCTATGTCCTACAGGTCTGTGGGAAGACAGGCTCTTGGGTGGGCTCTTAGCAGGACAGAGGGCCTTGGCACGGGGACTCTCACCCTCTGGGCTGGGAGGAGGGTCTGGCCTGTTCGGGGGGCCTTGGTCTCTGGCCTGGTTTCCTGACTCAGGTTGGCACGGCTTCTCCCTTTCCTAGGTTCTCTTCCAACACACGGCCCCCTCTCCTGCGTTTCTGCGCCTCGTCTACGTGTTGCCATAGAAACAAAAGGGCCAAAGGCCAAAGCAAAATCTCCCGCTCTAACAGTCTAAGCCTAACTTCTTGGAGCCTGACCCAGGATACAAACAATTAGAGCCTTACTCCTAGTGACTCCTGGGCTCAGCCCAGATGGCTGGTTTTGTGGAGGACAAGAGGCGTTAAGCAGTTTACAGCCTTAAGGGGAAGGTGGTTCAGCTGCCTGCAAGCACAAGGACCCGTGTCCGACTTCCAGAAGCCGTGCTAAAAAAGCCAGGCGCGGGGGCCTATGCAAAACATCCCAGGGCTGGAGAGGCACAGACAGACGAACCCCGAGGCTTGCTGGCCAGCCAGCCTAGCCCATGCGGAGATTTCCGGATGAGTGAGACCCTGTCACAGAAAGTAGGGTAGATGATAACTTGAAGAACAATACCCCAGGCTAACCCCTGGCCTCCATATATGCACTCTTACATGTGTACTCACACACATGTACCGACGGTCACACTCGCTCCCGAAAACATTTACTACACGACAGTGAACACCCTCCTCTTACCTATTCAGATGCGACCCCATGCAGACGACCTGTGGCCAGGTAGCATTGTAAAATGTCCCCCACTTGTCAGGAGTCTGTCCATTCATCCACTGTCTTTCTGTCCTCAATGCTTATTCTTTCTTAAAACTTTCATGTCAATTCTAGACTGGTAAAACCTTTGATCCCTTGCTTAGGGCCCTTCTTTCCTGGCATGATAGTCACCTCTGTCCTTCTCCTCCTGTACCCAAGGTTTGAGCCCCATCAGGATGCTACAGTGCTCACTCTCTGCAGCCTCTTGGTACCCTAAGGCGTGTGAGGATAGGGGTTATAGAGACTTGGGCAGTGTTGTGTGTTAATAGTGCCAACCCCGGTGTGGGTCCCCGTAGAGTGTGTGGGGTCCCCAAAAAGCAAATGTTGACACACCTGTCAAGCCCTCACCTGGCTTGGAGCCCTCATCCACAGAGCCGTTGTAGACCTGGTTGATGAACTCAGGACGGTTGTCATTCATGTCGATGACATAGATATACAGATCAATAGGATTCTCCACCTTGTTGCCGTTCATGTCCACCGCATGGGCTCGGAGCTGCGGAGAAAACAGACGTGTCAGAGCTGGTAGCCACATTCAGGGGTATGCTGCTCTCTGGTGTGTGTGTGTGTGGGGGGTTCCCCTAGGAACTCACAGAACTGGGGTAGTGCCCCTGGGAAAAGAGGCAAAGGCAACCTGGGTCAGGGCTCAGGCTAGATTGACACGTCTAGAAACTTCTGTGAGCCTTGGGGTCGTGTGAGCAGAAACAGGGCAACACCCTCTGGGCTGCCAAGGTCACCCGGATCCCCTGGGTCTGGCTGATGTCTTCACCTGCCGGGGCTGGAGAGGTGCCCTGCAGACAGGATTTTATGTCTTCTTTCAGTGTTTGCAGCTAGGCCATTTGTGCCAGGTGGAGCAGTGGGGTTTAGGTGCCTCCTTCTGAGGGGTTGACCCGGGGAAGAGCCTGGGAGGGATCTTCATGGGCTACATAGAGAGGCCTGAACAAGTCTTGGGGGAAGATGCTGATTTAGATGTCTACAATGATCCCACAAGCACAAACTCAGGCCTATCTGCTTCTGCTTGGGGCATTGTTGGGCCTTACACAGCGAGGAGAGAGGGGGAGGGAGGGAGAGAGAGACACACACAGAGACAGAGACACAGAGAGAGACAGAGACAGAGAGGTAGAGAGAGACAGAGAGAGACACAGAGATACAGAGAGAGACACACACACACAGAGACAGAGAGAGAGGAGAGAGGGGCTGAGAAGGGGCTCCTGGGAGCTGTGTCAGGACTTGCCCTCCAGATTTATCCACCCTTTTATTCCTTTGGTGCCCACACAGGGTCCACAAAGCAGTAGGTGCGTGCTGGACCTCAGACTGGAGACAGAGCAGACACAGTGCCTTTGATGCCTCTCGTCACAAGTGGGCAGGGACACAGAGCAAGCCAGAGGCAGTCCGTCTGTTGGGGGAGGACAACTTCGTCATGTGAGCCCCCCCAGGGCTCCACCTCATGAGATGAGGTGTTCAGGGAGAAAGGGAACGTGAAATTTCCACCCTCAGTCTGTGACTAGGTCCCTGTCATTTCCAGGCATGAGACCCAGGACAGGCCCCGCCGCTCCTCACTCAGAAGACAGACAGGAAGTGAGGAGGAGAAATCGGTGTGCTGTAAGGCTTGCACCTGGGAGGCACATGCAGGAGTCTCCAGTACCAGCTAGTGAGGCTGAGGTACTACGGAGGCCTTGTTTTGTTTTCGGAGCTGGGATAAAACCCTTGGAGCCTCAGAACCGTGGTCAGAGGCTCAGACACTGTGACCGTGGTGGAGGTCCATGCTGACACCGTCCCCAGTTCTCAGGGATTCCTCCTGCCTGAATGTGGGGTTCTGCACACATCTCTGGGGAAATCCCAGAGGAGGCTCAGCTCCCCTCTAGGGTGAAGAAGGCCTAGGTGAAGGTCCTGGATCCTCGGGGACCCCTGACTCATTCTCTGTTTCTTTTTTTTTTCTTTTCTTTTTCTTTTTTTGTTTTTTTTTTTTGAGACAGGGTTTCTCTGTATTGTTTTGGAGCCTGTCTTGGAACTTGCTCTGTAGACCAGGCTGGCCTTGATCTCACAGAGATCTGCCTGCCTCCACCTCCTGAGTGCTGGGGTTAAAGGCGTGCGTCACCAACGCCTGGCTTCGTTCTCTGTTTCTTGTATCATATCCCGTTCTTATCTCGTCTGTCCGTCTTACTGTCTGTTTCTGTTTATTTCCCTGTGTCTCTCCTGTTTGTCTCTTTACACCTACCTCTCTGTCTCGCCATCTCTCTGCATGTTTCTGCCTGCACCTCCCTGTGTGTCCCTCCCTAAGCGTGTCCTTTCATGTCTCCAGTGGCTCCTAGGGGCACATGCTGTGCCTGGTGGAGAGGTGTGTTGGGTGTGGCCGGAAGCCCATCTTGGGAACCAGCAGCTTTGCTAAGATCCAGTGTGATGTCCTGGGTTCTACGTGTGGACAGTGGTAGTGTGTGGAAGCTTCTGTCCCTGCAGTCAGGACTTCTGCAGCACTGGTCTTCATAGGCTGGAGGGTGTATGAGGCTTCAGAGCTGGTTGTCAGGGAGGGGCGGATGGAGGTCCAAGCTGGCCGGGAAGGACCCTGGGGACCTGCTGTGCTGTCTTTGGACCCAGATGCCTGCTCATCCTCTGGTGAGTTGCCCCTGCTGCCTCTGCCTTCAGTTCTGGGCTTCCACAGAGAGTAGAGGGCAGGCACAAGGTGTCCTGTTGGCTCCAGACTGCTCTGGACACTGAGCGGCTGTGGAGGTGCATGGAGGGAGGGGCCCGTCTTCTGTCCCCTAGGTAACTGAAGTAGCTGTGTTGGGAGCTCTCTGGCTTGGGTGAGAGTGAGGGGTGAGATCCGTGGGCTTTTATATCTGGTTTCTGCAGAAGTGATGTCATCCTGGCCGTAAGTCTCAGACACTCTGCTCCATCGTGTGGCATCTAATTTGCATGATTTGTCTCATTATTTCGAAATCCGCTGTAGTGGCATCTTGCCTTGCCAGGGATATTGTAGTAGGGGCCACACCCTTTGAGCGTGGTTTCGGGGGCAGACGAGACCCTTTTAAGGTAGAGGAGCTGCTGTGTGCTCTCGGATCGCGGAGAGCATTGGAAGGGCAGAGATTGTATCTTCTGGATTTTGGACCAGAGGGGCAGGGGGCAGCGGAGTGAGCTGCACACTGATCTGAAAACTTTGAGCCCCTGACTCTTCCAGTAGGAAGATTATTGAAGAAGCAGAGGAAGGGAGCCCAAGAAGGGCCCATCCCTAAGCTGCTTCCTTCCTGGGACAGCCTGCCAACAGCTGCTACGTCCCAGAAGGCTGAAAGCAATTTTGGGTATGTCCTGAAGCACAGGGCAGATAGAATGTTCTAGTGGGAAATCAGAGGACTTGATAGGGGCCCTCAAGTCAAGGCCTCAGGGAGGAGAGGAAGCAGCAAGCAGAAACTCCTCAGCCCAGGGGCTTTCTCTTAGAGACCGTGATAATTAAAAGTGAATCTGTCTAATCTTGGGAGAAGTGGGTTTAATCAGCGAGTGGCTTCCTTCCTCAGCCCACGAGGAAGTGATGTGCTGACTCCAGGTCGTCCGCCACCCAGGGAAAGAGACAGGGAGAGTGGGGCGGGCTCTGTCTTTCTCCCTCCCAACCTTCAGTTCCACATCTTGTCGAGACCCTCTCTAGCCGTGGGCATAGGCGTCTTTAAAGGATGCATTCTTGAAGTGGCTTATGCCTGCCCGAGGCAGACGGGACAACAAGAGGTGGGGAGAGGAGGTGGCTGGGAAGGGTGGGGATGTGGCCTGACAGAGTGGTCCTTGTCATAGCTTGTGACCCGGACTTCACAGAGTGAGGCACGGCCCCCTGGGGAGCCCCTGCGGGAGGCGCTGACCCTTCTTGTGTGGAAAGCAGCGGCCGAGCCGAGCATTTCCTACCTCTGCTTGAACCTCTGCACCTCAGTCACAGAGAGAGCCGCCATCCCCCAAAACAAAGTCCAGGACAGAGACCAGCTCTAACCATCTTTCATCCAGTCGATCCCACCTGTGAACAAATCCATCTTCCTGCTCAAAAGGGACACGGTGGCTTTCCAACTCCGGGCTCCCCACCCAAGCTAACAACAGCTAACAACACGGTTTGTTTCCTCACTTCCTCTTCCTGACCTTGGCCTCTGCCATAAGACAGTCAAAGTGGGAACGCTCGGACGGCATCTCCTGGCACAGACGGGGAGACGCTGCTGGTACTGGCATCGCCACTGCTTCTTCCCACAGCCTGTGTCTGGCTCTGAAAACCTGGAGATCCAGTCTTCCTCAGGCGGGTAGGTAGGGCCGTGAAGATTCAGTCGTTCCTCGGCTTAGAGCTGGGTTGTACATTCCCCGAAAACTTGGGCTGTGTCTCCTCCAGTCATTTCTGTTTTCCCAGCTCCTAACACAGGGGCCGACTTAGGTTGGATGCTCAAGAAATGAGCCTTGTGTGGAAGGAAGGATGGCTGTGTGGTTAGGATGAGCAAGTGGGTGGACAAACGGACGGGTAGGCGGTGGGCTGGTGGACAGGTAAGTAGATGGGTAGATGGGTAGACAGACTGATGGGAGGAGCAGGGATGCGTAAGTGGACGGGTGAAGAGGCAGGTGGATGGTTGAAGGAGGGGGTGGCTGGATGGGCAGATGGCGGATGAGTAAGCAGTAAGATACTTGGCTGGGTAGATGGACAGGGGGTGACGGGATGGTGGGTAGATGGGGAGTGTGTGTAAGTGTGAGCGGATGGACAGACAGATGAGGAATGAAGTGAGTACAAGGGAGGCGGTGTCTGCAGGGATCATGCTTTTTCTTGAAGTGTCTGTGAAGACGGGCATCTGGAGAGCTGAAGCCAGGTGCTGTGAGCCTGACTGGGGTCACTCTTGTGTCTCAGCAATTCCACAGAAGCCATGGGATGTGCACAGAAGCCCCTGCTCTGTGGACTAAGCAGCGGCTATAGGCTCAGGGAACCATCTCGGGGCAGGAGACGTCTGTGCTCAGAAAGGACAAACCACGTTCCCGAGGTTGCTTCATCAGTTCCTTCAGCAGAGTGCCCTGCTCCTCAAGACTCATTTGGGGGTTGATGGAAAGGTCACCACTTGACAGACCCAACCTCTTGTGATCCCCCTTTCCATGTAGATGGGCAGCGGCAGCTTCAGGGCCGGGCTGTGTCTTTGTCTGAGGATGTAGTGTGGGCAACCTCAAAATCCTTGTGCACCTGGAGCCTCCTTCCTGAGAGGGGAGGACGGGTGATCAATCCTGAGCAAACGGCTACCAACAGAGGAGGAAGCGGGGGTCATCCTTCCAGCAGCACAGCACACGGGAAGTAAGAGCTTGCAGCAGTTAATCTGACAGCGTGGGGGCCGAAGCTGAGAATCCCACCTTTGTTCTGGGATGATTGCCAGAGTGCTGGGCATTCAACATCTGTGCTTTTAGCCACAGGTACACGCAACGCCCCGCCCCGACCACACCTCTGTTCTGTCCACCGGGTAGGGTGGATGTCATCATAACCATGTCACCGCTGCTAGATCTCTTCATGCTGGGGAGAGACCAGGGGGAGTCCAGGATGGACTCACAGAGGTCGAGCGCTGGGCCTGGCCCTTGCAGGTGCTGGAACAGAGCCCAGGGGGACCAGCCACAGTGTCATGTGGCCGTCACATCAGAGAGAGAGAGAGAGAGAGAGAGAGAGAGAGAGAGAGAGAGAGAGAGAGAACATGTAAAGGCTCTAACCTGGGAAGTGCAGATTTAAAGCCCCATCTGACCTGTAAGTGCTGGGGTTGGGCCTGTCGATCAGACTATCAGACTTTGATCTTCTACTGGGCAAGTCCGATCTGGTGGATGGATGCCGGGATCCTCCCCCTGTGCTTCAGGACCCGTGGCCAGGCAGAAGTGAGCTTTGCTGCTGCCACCCTACCAGGGTGGAAGGGTGTGGAAGCGTATGGTGCAGGAGAAACCGTGGCCAACCTACGGCCAAGTGGCAGTTGCGGGTGCCTAGGTCAGCCGGCAGGAACATGTGCGGCAGGCACTTTCTCCCTGAGCCAAGTCTGCCTCTATGCCCAGAGACTGCTGACTTAGGAGAGACATCTCACCCAGAGACACCAACTAGGAAAGGACAACGCAGCAGAGCCAGCCGCCTGAGCCTATAGGACCTTGGGAGGGGGTATAAAGTCAGGTCTAACTTCCTGAATAAAGGAGTCTGCAGCAGGCTCTGCTACTCACTGACTCCCAGTGCCTGAGTCGTCGGTGCTGCGTCTTCCCACCCCCTCCCCCAAGGGGTGTTGGAGCAGGGTCGCCCGCAACAGTATGGGGGGTGGTGTATGAAGCATTGTGGAAGGGCATGAAAGGGTGTGGAAGGGTGCACAGTCTATAGACTACCCGCTATTGCTACCTTCCGTGTTTGGACGCTTACATGGTAAGAGGCTCTTTCCTCCCGGTCCATGGGTCGAGTGACATACATCCTGCCAGACATGGAGTCAATGCTGAAGACCTCCATAGGGGGCTGGTCGGCTCCCACGCCTGTGATGCTGTACCGGATGGGGATGTCATTGTCCTTGTCAGATCTGATCTGAAAGACACAGGAATGCAGATGTGAGCCTGCTGCAGGGGTGGGGTTGACACATGCATCCCGACACCCGGAAGGGCCCGATGCTTGGCCACGCTTTCAGAGCACCGTGGATCACAGCTGGAACAGCCCAGCAGCGTCTCTCTCTCTCTCTCTCTCTCTCTCTCTCTCTCTCTCTCTCTCTCTCTCTCTCTCTCTCTTCTCTCTCTCTCTGTCTGTCTCTGTCTCTGTCTCTCTCTCTGTCTCTGTCTCTCTCTCTGTCTCTCTGTCTCTCTGTCTCTCTGTCTCTCTGTCTCTGTCTCTCTCTGTCTCTCTCTGTCTCTCTCTCTCGTACTGAATTACGCCTGTCTCTTCCCCCGAGAAGCAACTAGCCGCTCTGTCCTAAGGACTACATGTCGGTTCCTTTGGCTGCCAGACACCGTGGAGGAAAAGAGCCAGTCCAGTCTGAACAGGCTTTAGGTGCACGCGCAATAAGATAACCATTTCCTAGTGTGATCTTTTAGAGGAAAATCCCGATTTGCCGTCTAACGCCCATGCATTTGGTCAAAATATCCTATGCTTCATGCACAAAAGGCCCAAGCTTCCATATGTCAATCCAAAGTTTATCAGTGGCACACGCCTTTAATCCCAGCACTCGGGAGGCAGAGGCAGGCGGATCTCTGTGAGTTCGAGACCACCCTGGTCTACCAAGCGAGTTCCAGGACAGCCTCCAAAAACAATACAGAGAAACCCTGTCTGGAAAAAAAAGTTTATCAGAGCAGAAACCTACCCATATCCCACCCTACAACCAATTTCTCTTCCTCGAGGACTCAGAGAGGCTCCAGGAATACACGGGCTCTGGAGCGTGCTGGCCCGTACCTGCCGCTCCCTGCCTATGTCTCTCTTACACCTTATCTTCTGAATGAAAAAGCCCTTGCTACTTTGGTGCTCACGTATGGTTCATCAGTCCTTTGAAGATGCCAAGAATCGGAGATAACAACGGGCTCAGACAGCATCCACCGGTAGTAGAGGGTAGCCAGTGGACGGGGGCTCGTCAGGTGTCAGGGAGATACAAGGTACAATAGTTCAAGGGTTATTTATTTATTTTTTTTGAGACAGGGGCTCATGTAGCTCAGGTTAGCTCAAACTGTTACATAACTTTGAATTCTTGGTCCTCCTCCATCTCCCCGGTCCTGGAACTACAGGCACGCACCATTAAGTCTGGCTTATACAGTGCCAGGAACTGAGTCCATGGCTTCACGCATGTTAGGCATGCACTCCACAAGCTGAGCTACATCCCCAGCCCTCAGTATTTCAAGTTCTGTGTCAAGCTGTGACGTAGCATGCCAGGTTGCAAAGGGATGGCAGTGAGGGACACAGTGGCAGACTGGAGTCCCCGTCTACACCAAAAGCAGGGATCTTACTGGGTGGGTCACTTTTTTTTCATGAAAGAAGGCAGGACTCCCAGTGGCGGTGAGAGAGGTCTGAGGACAGGTTTTCTCTCCAGCTGTGTACATCAGGCTGAAAACCGCTCCAGAGAACTCCAACTCCAAGAAAATCAGACTCGATAGAGAACACCCTTCTTCCTTTTCTTCATATTTTCAGAGATAACTTGAATTAAAAATTTTAATTAAAATATAATTATGTCATTATGCCTTTTCTCCCCTCTTTCAACTTTTGTGGGCTCTTACCCTTTACTTATTGTTGTTATATATTACAGTGGTTTGAGAAAGAATGGTCTTCATAGGCTCATATATTTGAATTCTTAATCGCCAGGGAGTGAAACTGTTTGATAGGATTAGAAAGATTAGCAGGTGTGGCCTTGTTGGAAGAAGTGTGTCATTGAGGGGTAGACTCTGACGTTTCAAAAGCCCATGCCAGGTCCAGTCTCTCCCTTTCTCCCCACTCTGTCTGTCTCCCTCTCTCCCTCCCTCCCTGTCTCCCTCCTTCCCTCCCTCCCTCCCTTCCTCCCTCCCTCCCTCCCTCCCTCCCTCCCTCCCTCCCCCACCTCTTCCTATGGATCAGGACACGGCTTTCACTTTAGCTGTTGCTCTAGTGTCTGCCTGCTACCACGCTCCCCACCATGACGATAATGGACTGAACCTCTGAAACACTAAGCAAGCCCCCAACTAAACATTTTCCTTATAAGAGTTGCCTTGAACATGGTGGCTTTTCATAGCAGTGGAACAATGACTAAGACAGAAATTGGTACCAGGAGTGGGGTGACGGGCCTGTTCATGCTGTTTGTTGGTAGAATGTGTGTTGAGGAAGTCCTGTGTCAATAAAGCACTGCTGGCCAATAGGAATCTAGATAGGTGGGACTAGGAGTCCAGGAGGACTCTGGGAAGGAGAAACACAGAGAGTCAACATGTGACACCATGGGGGTAGGAAGCCTGGAACTATTCTCCGGTAAGAAACATACTTAGATTAGCAATTATGGGATAAATACTTAAATCAGAGCTAGCCAGTAAGAAACAAGCAAGGCCAACAGCTTCATAATTAATATAGCCTCCTGTGTGTTTATTTGGGACTGATGCGGCTCTGGAACCAGGCTGGTGGGAAGGCTTCTCTCAAGGAAAAGGCTTCTCTTTACAAATGTGGGCTTTGGATTAGGAAGCAGTTTGGTGTGTTAAGTTGTCTCACTGCACCATCCTAGCAGGAATAAGGATGGCAGTGCTGAGAATAGCATGGGGCCAACTCAAGAAGTTTCAGAGGGGAGGAATATTAGTAAGTGGCCTAGAGATTGTTCTTGTGACATTTTGTCAAAGAATGTGGCTGACTTTTTTGCCTTTGTCCTAAAATTTTTGCAAGAGGCTAAACTGAAGAGTGTTGGATGAATAGTCTTAGAAGAAGACAGCCTAGGATAGCCTGTGTCACGTGGTTATCAGTGGCCACTCTTACGTAGATCTACAAATGGCAAGGAACAACGGAGTAGAGAAAAATGCGTAGTATACAGTTGAAGAGAAGAAAAGCATCAGGAAATACAATGTGGAAGACAGAAAGAAGTTCCAGTGCTCAAGGAGATAAAAAGTTTAAAGAAAAGACCGATGGATGCTAAGTGGATAAAGGGAGTGGTGACCTCAGGTCAAGACCCCACCCAGCCAAGCTCCCAACTTGTGAGAAGGGTTTAAGGGGCAGCAAAAGGAGTCACCAACAGGAAGATGATGCAAACGTCACTGAACTAGGGGGCCAAGTTCCAGCCCCAGAAGGCAGCAGAACTTGGCCATTTTGGCCAAGCGGTTCTAGCTTCAGAGTCATGAGTTCAAGACAGGTTGTGGAAGCTCCCACCAAGGCTAAGGAAAGCTGCTGAGGCCAGGCGTGTGTCAGGGGTGTCCCTGCATGGAAAGCTCAGAGAGGCCGTTTTGTGAAGCTGTGAAGGTGAAGCCTGGCTTGTGAGAGACCCCAAGATGTTGGAGACGCCAGCGTGGTTGGACACCTGCCAAAGGTGAGCTGCAATCCACATGTGGAATCAGCCCCGGAGACAGAAGTACGTTTTGGTCAACAAAGCTGAAAGGAGCTGGAAATCTGAAGAGTGCTTTGACATCAGACATGGAGATGCAGAATTTGGCCTTTGTCCAGCTGGTTTTTGCTCTTGCTTTGGTCCTATATTTCCTTACTATGCTCCCTTTCCTCCATTTTGGAATGGTAATGTATATTCTGTGCCATTGTATGTTGGGAGTGTGTGGTCTGCTTTTTGGTTTTGGTTTTACAAGGGTTACAATGAAGAGACTGCCCTTGAGTCTTAGAAGAGACTTTGAGCTTTGGACTTTTAAACAGTGTTGACACTGTGATAGGCTACGGGGACATTTTAAGTTGGATTGAATGCACATTGTGTTTTGATATGGGTAGAAGCCTTTGGGGGCCAGAGGTGGAATGTGGTGGTTTGATTAAGAATGGTCCCCATAGGCTCTTATATTTGAATTCTTGGTCATCTGGAAGTGGAACTTTCTGAGAGGATTAGAAGGATTGGAGGTGTGGCCTTGTCAGAGGAAGTGTGCTACTGGGGGTAGGCTTTGAGTTTTCAAAAGCCAGGCCCAGTCTCTCTCTCTCTTTGCCTATGGATCGTGACGTAACTCTCGTTATTACTCAGCACCATGCCTGTCTGCACGCGGCCACGCTCGCCACCATAATCACAATGAACCAAGCCTCTGAAACAGCAAGTAACCCCCCAATTAAATGCTTCCTTTCATAAGAGTTGCCTTGTCAGGGTGTCTTTTCACAGCAATGGAACAGTGACTTAGAAATCTATGTGACTAAATGTCTAAACACAACTGCTGAATCTGGTTAGTGTTGCTTGTGTGTATTTTTGTTTTTGAGGGGGCCTGACCATTGGGGCTAGATAACCGATTTGGACACTCAGCTCTGGGGGAGATCAAGTTTCCATCTCTCAGCGGTTTAATTGATGGCAGCTCCTCATCTAGTGAGGGCCTCATGTTATTTCTGGCATGTCAAACAGAATGCTTCCTTCCATTCATTCTCTCTCTCTCTCTCTCTCTCCCTCTCTCTCTCCCTCTCTCTCTCTGTCTGTCTCTCTCCCCTCCCTTCCCTCCCTTCCCTCTCTCTCTCTTTCTTTCTTTCTTTCTTTCTTTCTTTCTTTCTTTCTTTCTTTCTTTCTTTCTTTCTCTCTTTCTGAGACAGAGTCTCACTATATAGTCTAAACTGGCCTAGAACTTGCTATGTAAGCAGACCAGGCTAATCTCAAGAGATCGGTCTGTCTGTTTCTTGAGTGCTGGGATTAAAGGTGTGCCTCACCATGTCCAGCTGAGAATACCTTTCTTTCTTTCTTTCTTTCTTTCTTTCTTTCTTTCTTTCTTTCTTTCTAAAAAAGATTTTATTTATTTATTTATTTATTTAATATATAGTGTTCTGCCTACATCCCAGAAGAGGGCATCAGATGGTTGTGAGCCACCATGTGGTTGCTGGGAATTGAACTCAGGACTCCTGGAAGAGCAATCGGTCCTCTTAACCTCTGAGTCATCTCTCCAGCCCGAGAATACCTTTATTAAAGCAGCATTCACCATGGT